CACTTATTTTTAGGTAGAGATTCCACCATTGTTGGCTTCTTTGAACCAGCAAGAATTGCAGCACGCAGCAGTTCCAGAGAGAGGCTCAACAATGTGGACTTTCCTAATTGATAGGTCATGGAGATCAAATGGGTTGATTGCAGGAGCAGCGTGGGTTTGTTTAAATGACAACAATCAACAAGTAGACCAGAAAGCAATGGCAATTCAGCCTTCATCATCTCCATTGGTGGCCGAAGCTATAGCATGTTTAGAAGCTATGCAATGAGGAGTCCGGATCCTCAGCCGCACTATCCTGCCGCCCTTCCTACCGCCCTCCAAAACGACATCGTTTTGGAGAAATTTTTTTTTTTTTTTCCTTCTTATTTTGTTTTCCCCTCTTTTCTTATGAACCCTTGCCTCTGAGACAGAAGAGGCATGATCTGGATGAGAGAGAGAGAGAGAGGTGACGAACAGAGGCGATGGAGGCAGAAGCAAGGCGAGGCGAGGGCGGTGGAGGCGACGAACGGAGAGGCTACGGAGGCAAGGCGAGGCGAGGAGAGGCGGCGGGGAGGCGACTGAGGCAGGGAGAGATGAACAAAGAGGGCAACGATGAGGTCCATTTCTAGTATCCAATGAACCTTCTAGCTGCACGATGAATTTTGAAGCTTTATTTTTGAGTTGGATACAAATGTTTGGTGTGTCAAACTTGAACCATGGGTCATTTACAAGAACCCTACCCATTTCTCTACCTCTGCTTTGATTATTTTTTTTTAAAAAAATTATGACATTCACACTCGAAAGAGATTGATGCATTTTGAATATCTGAACAGGAGATTGATGCATTTTGTATTCTATGATTGACAATGTAGGTGAATAAGATCAATAATTATGCAATTGTAAGAAAACAGTTAAGTTTGTCATGTAGAATAATAAGAACAGGTTTTAAAGTGAAAGACCTTAATCATCCCCCCCCAAAAAAAAATATTGCTTGAATTAATTCCATTAATAGTCTGAAGTACACATTTGTTATTATAGGTGATGTTAATTTGAAATCAGGAATTGATGCATTTTATTATTATTCTTTTCTTTGGATTTAACTTGAAATTTGGAATTTAAATTTCTATTACAGCAACCTCTTTAAAATCACCATATTGATGATGTTAATTTCTGTAATATTTATCTGTAATCTTCAATGATCAAATATATTTTAATCTTCTCTTTACTCATTTATGTATTGTCTTTAATCTTCAAGGGGTTTACATGAACCCTTTAATGGAATCCAAGGGTTTTGTTTCAGAAAACAAGGGGGTCTTGGTGTGCTTAACCCTTGTTTTAGTAATTGATGAGAACAGATCTCCATGTACCTAATCTTAAGCTGATAATGTTATTTGAGTTTGATAGCAGGAACAGTTTCTAGATCTATTGATGATGGTTTCTTTGAGCATGGTGGTAGTAAGGATGCACTTAGTTATTCATGCATTTCAGTGGCAATATATGTATAAATTTATATATATTTAAAATTAAATAAAATTGGTATGGTATCCTCTCTATCATCAATTGAAAGTCTTAACCTTTTGTTGAGATTTAGTGTGAACATATGTTTTAACTCTAGGAAAAATCAACTGGACTCAAATGTTATGAATGAGAAAATGCTTTGTTGTGAATTCTAAGTAGAATGAAATAGAACCATTAAAAAATCTAGATAGCTTGACACATTTATATAATACAAAAGTTAAGTAGTTATATCACTATTATCTTGAAAATGTTGATTTGGAACTTGAGCTCAGTGATGTTGTAGAATTGTGTCATCAAGGGTTTTCCCTGAAGTTTGTTAATTCAATTCATATAGTTCGATGGAAGATCATTTATTTAAATCAACAATGGTTGAAATTTGTGAACAAAAAGGTCGGTGATGTTGTGATCCATCACAGTGACAAAACATTGATTTGTGAAGTCCAATGAAATGAGAGAATATGATCTTTTGTTATTTAACTATGTACTTCTTACTTGATTGTTATGTCTACAAGCTATCTGTAAATAGAATAAGCCTTTCACCTGTTAGTATATTATTATATGTTAGTGTTTAGCTTTAATAATTAGTGTCCCCTTGCTTTATGCTTTCGGTGCCTCAATTGGCATCCTATGTTGTCTTCTCCTCTCTATAAAGAGAGTGTACATCACTTTGTAAATATACACAGAAATACACAGAAATATAGAGTTATTCATTTGCTCTCTCTTCTCTCTTTCTCAAACTATTGTAACATGGTATCAGAGCTAGGTTAAGAACCTAGTCATTCTGCTTCACCGGCGGGCGGTAGCCTCGCCTTGACCGCCCGCCGGACCTCTATACATACCTTCACTCCGTTGCCACAAACCCACCAGTTGGCAACCATCAGCAGACCAACACATAGCACACACACACAGACTAACATCCCTATCATGAAAGCAGATAAAGGAATTTTGTAACGTTTGAGTGCTGTAACTAAGGCTCCATATTGGCCTGTGGGTGTTGATGGTAAATCACCCGCCAACCAAGATTCATGTTCCAATTCCACCTCATCATTCAACAAAGAGTGATGAGTCATTGAGTAGACCACAACAGCTAAATCAACAAGGCCGTATTCTTGAGGCGGCTATTGAAGCAGCAGCAAATGCTTTAGCTCTCTTGACATCGTCTGCGAAAACTCCTCGTCAGCTTTCTCTTCTCCGGTGCTGGAATCGTCTCAAGAGTCAGAGCCCACGCGCAACCACGCGCCGCCCATGGCGTGGGCTCCTCAACAGCCCTCCGTCGTCGCTCATTATCGCTTGCTGAAGCCGCTCCTGCAGCGCCGCAACAGTGGCCTCATGCGCCCTTGCCCGAGTCTGCCACGCCTGCGCCTCTGCGAAGAACGCTCAGCAGATCCCTTCCAACCTCTCCGAGCCCAATCGATGCTCGTGGCCTAGTGTCATCTGCGACTCTGACCGCGTCACCGAGTTCCCCGTCCCCGGCATGGGACTCTCTGGCCAAGTCCCACCCAAAGCCATTGACAACCAGATCCGGTTCCAAACACACTCTCTCTCTATTTTCAAACTCATTTTACTTTTCTTCTTTTATTTCTTTATTTTTTCTTTTCACCCCTTTTACATCACCAACCCCATTGTGTCTCTCTCCTATCACCCGCAGATACACACACACTTGCACTATACCAACCCATCATAATATATTATCATCCGCTATCCTAGCCCACAGGTGACAGGTTCCGAACCCCCCACTGCTTTTATTTTATTTTTACCATACTCATCATCACCATACTTATCAGAAATTAATTAACCCCTTTCTTGGCTCATCATCAAGTCCAGAGAGCTTCCCATGAACAGTGGTTCGTTCCAGCACACTTGGCTCATCATCAACGACGGTCTCCACTGTCTCGAGCTCTCCATTTTGGACAGCACTAAAGAAACTATTGTCATGGGATTCTCTGCAACTCAATCCCTGACCCATACACGTGCCTGCATGAACGTGCGCTCCACCTCTGCAGCATGTGCGCTCCAACCTTTGGTTTACGTGGATATGGGTTCTCCTCAATAAATTATTCTTCTTTCCCATAAATTCCACCATACTTTTTCAGGGGACAAAGCATATATATATTTTATTATTATAATATATTACCCACATTATTTCCTTTTTCACCCCCACATCATTATTATTTTCAACCCACGGCTTCAGGACCCGCAGTCTGATCCCACTACCCCTAACTTTATTTATTTTATTTTATTTTATCTTCCTTTTTTTTCATTCAAAAAAAAAATGTTAGTATATTATTATATGTTAGTGTTTAGCTTTAATAATTAGTATCCCCTGTTGAGGCTGCTTATATCAAACAGAATTTCTCACAACAGGTTTTGATTAGGGATGGTGATAAGGTTGGATTCGAAGAGCCGAACCCATGAGGGCGAAGAGGTTGCTTCGGTAGGGTATAGGTATCGCGGGTGGAAGCTCGATAATGATATGTATTTTGGGGCAACGGAGTGAAGGTATGTGTAGAGGTCCGGCGAGCGGCCAAGACGAGGCTGCCGCCCGCCGGTAAAGCGAAATTATTAGGTTTTTAACCTAAAAAACTGACCGTACAGATGTGTCCGGAATACTCCAAATAGTTGGGAAGCACTATTGGATCGTTAAAAACGGACTCCGAATGGCTCCGATCTGGCAAAAACACTTTGGACGGGTCAGATCTGCAGAATCTAGTGCATTGAGATGCACCGGATAATTTATCCTGTCAACGGTTGGTCAACGGCGCAGGCGGCGCGGTCAACGGAGGATCGGCGGCGCGGTCAACGCGGCTTGACGGCTGGTCAACTCGGCTTGACGGCTGGTCAACGCGGCTTGGTCAGCGGCTCAGGCTGACTGGGCAGGGCACGTGTCCGACACGTGGCTGACACGTGGCTGACGTGTCGGCTGACTAGGTCGTCTTCTTCACTGAGCGGCGCGTGGGGCGCGTGTGGCGCGTGGGTTTCACGCGCAATTTTCTCCTGGCGCGTGACGGCGCGTCAAAGCTCCTCTGGGCTCTGTTTTTGCTGTTCTGGACTCCTCTCGGGGAGTTCTTCCTCCTGGTATGGTCAAAAGTGGATTTTGAGCACTTCGAAATCTGGGCACTTTCGGGAAAAATTCGATTTTTCGCAACCCGAGCTCTGATACCAATTGTTGCGGATCGGGGGCACACCAGGGAACTCAAACAAGCAATAACACACAAGATTTAACGTGGTTCGGCAAGTCGCCTACGTCCACGGGCAGCGAATTCACTATATTGAACAAAATGGTAAGAATTACAATTCTCTCTGTAATTCTCTCTCTCTTTGCTCTCTAAGCTCACACCCCTCAGCTGTACCTCAACTCTCCTTAGCTTCTCTATATATAGAGATTACAAATGCAAGAGGAACCCTTTGAAATGAGCTGGCTGCCAGCCCATTGTTGTGCTTTCAGTGGCTTTATAGATTGAAGCTTCACATGGATTCTCATGGCCTCATGGCCAACTCACATGGCCTCATGGCTTCCCCACCATGTAGCTGGCTGCCACTTTCCACCACATGGCTAGAATCTGTAGCCAATATTCAACACAGTGCACACATGAGCAACCAAATTAGCAACAACAGAACTCACCCAGATTCCAGTGAAGGCAGCAAGCCAGTCTATACTCAGCTGCCATGCCTAAAACAATATTGAACCTGGTGCAAATTAAAAACTACATCATTAATGGAGAACTCCACTTTGGCTGGGGAGGATTTAACCCACAAAGCGATTCTGACTTTGACAACCTCACATAAGTCTTCTAAATTTGGTTAAGAACCATTAAAGACACAATCATTCCGATGCTTCCATGTGGACCAAAGGACAGCCAAAGGCACAACCTTCCACATCACTTTCTCAATCTTCTTCATATTGCAATAACCCTTCCACTGAGTTTGGCATCACCCACTGAACAGCCCACCATTTCATAATCTGGGACCACAGCAGCCAGACAAATGGGCAAAAAAGCAAGATATGGTTGACCGTTTCCACCTCATTTTGACCGAAAACACAGCTCACATTAGCAGCCTCATCTAAGATCCCAATTCTCTGGAGGTAGCTGGATGTTTTCACCTTGCCTAACCAAGCCAACCACCCAAAGAATTTGACTTTTGGTGGTGCACAATTGTTCCATACTTCCCTTGCCACTTTCCTGTCAGGACCCAATTATGATTTACATCTTTTATAACTTGAAGGTAGTTAAACAATTTGAAGGTAATTAACCATATAAACATGTTTTTATCAAAAATAAACAATTTGAAAGGTAATTAAAATTATTTAAAAAACACTAACTAAATGAAAAAATTAGTAATCATGCCATTGATTTCATTTTACCATATAAAGTATAAACCCAAGTCTTGCTAGAATTTTTGACATTGTTACAGGTTGTATAGATTTCAGAAATCTTTTCTTGGATTATATCAGCATTGAATATTTCTGAATAGGTTACTCTCTAGGTTGGACTTGTATAGTTTGTATAATTAATTTACAATTCACAACGCACTGAGCAAAATCTGATTGGTATTGCTTTGTGTGAAAATTGAAAATTGCAAAAAAAATGAATTAAAAAAAAATTATGCATTAGATAATGTATGGTTTTATACTTAATCACATTCATCTATACGTTCAACTCTACTTAAGGGGAAGTTTAATTAAGGAGGCAAGCATTTAGTACTTTGCAAGAGTGGAAATGTCTAACTTCTATAAGTATTAATCTAACATCAATCACCTCATTGGCTATCAAAACCCCATCCAGTATGTGCCTTCCCCCCAAAAAAGCTGACTGAACGTCGCTAATTATCCTAGGCATCACCAGTTTAATCCTGTTTGCTAGCACCTTAGCAAGAATCTTGTATAAAGAGCCAATCAAACTAATGGGCCTATACTCGTTCAAACCGGATGGGCTATCAGATTTTGGGATTAGAGCAATAAAGGAGCTATTAAGCCCTCTGACCAAGCTTGCATTCTGATGAAATTCTCTCATGAATTGAAGCACATCATATTTTACAATGCCCCAACACTTCTTGAAAAAAGACATGTTGAACCCATTAGGCCCAGGGGCCTTATTGCCCTCACAGCTATTGAGTACCTCTCTGATTGCCTCCTCTGTGAAAACAGCCTCCAATTGTTCCACCACTTGAGCACCACCAATGTTCTTAAAAGGACCAGATAATTTAGGTCTGTGACTCCAAAATTCTGAGAATAAACTCATGAAATGAATCTTAACTTCTTCCTTAATTCCCAGAGGCTCCTCAATTAATGATCCATTAACAAGAATTGAACACAAAGAGTTTCCACTATTTCTGATAGAAGCCAAAATGTGGAAATACCTAGTATTTCAATCACCTTTAGATGCCCAGTTGCTTCTAGATTTCTGCAACCAAGTCCATTTCAACATTTTACTGAGTCTCCAAACTTCACTCCTAACATCCTTTCTTCTACCTTGTTCTGGAGCAAGAAGTGGTCTTTCTTCAGCTAATAGATCAAGAGCATGAGCTTCATCTTCTACAATTTTAAGCTTAGCTTCAATCTTACCAAACACCTCCATGTTCCACTGTTTTAATGCTTGTTTCAAAGCTTTAAATTTCATAAGACACTTGAACCCTGCCCACCCTTCCACCATAAGCTCTGACCAGGTTTGCTTCACAAAAGGGAGAAAATTAAGATGTAACAGCCAGGCATTAATAAACCTAAACGGCCTAGGGCCCCAATCCCTACCATCCTCCATTAAAATAATGGGACAATGGTCAAACAGCAGTCTAGGAAGACCCCATAATTTGAAATTGAAGGTTTGCACCCAATCATGGTTAAGTAAGAATCTATCTAGTCTGCTCCACTTCTCTCTATCTTGGGAATTACACCAAGTGAACTTCCTTCCTAGCATGGGCATATCCATCAATTCCAATTGAGCAATCATATAATTAAAATCCCTCATCCCTCTATACCGTCTGAAGCACCCAATCCTTTCTGAAATGGTTCTGATTTCATTAAAGTCCCCACCCAAACACCACAGCCCCAGAAAGATGGATTTTAATCTGATTAAACACTCCCACACCTCTCTTCTTTTTGCCACCTCATTAGGACCATATACATTGATGATAACACACTCAAAACTATGAAAAATTGTATCTGAGAGCAGCAAGAAATTCTGGTTGCAGCAGCTAGCCTTCAATTGAAAAACATCCGGATTCCATATGCAAAGCAGTTCTCCAGCTCTACGAATTGTATCAACAGACATGAACTCAAAGTGGTCACCCAGTCATAAAGACTTAACCAACTCTGAATTGACTTCTGATTTCTTAGTCTCTTGAAGTAGAGCAATATCCACTCTTCTTTCAGCAAGAATTTGCTTAACCTTTCTCCTTTTTTCTGGTCGCCCAATCCCTCTCACATTCCATGATTGTATCTTCATTAAACATTTCTAAACACTCTGCCCCCCTGGATTTGCTAGGTTAATTAACATCACCATCCCTTTTCCTTGCTCTTTCTAAATCTTGAACCAACTCTGAATTGACTTCTGATTTCTTAGTCTCTTGAAGTAGAGCAATATCCACTCTTCTTTCAGCAAGAATTTGCTTAACCTTTCTCCTTTTTTCTGGTCGCCCAATCCCTCTCACATTCCATGATTGTATCTTCATTAAACATTGCTAAACACTCTGGACCCCCTGGATTTGCTAGGTTAATTAACATCACCATCCCTTTTCCTTGCTCTTTCTGAATCTTGAGTTTCCAGATCTTGTAAATGGCTTATCACGTCCTTTTCTTTCCCTTCATAATCAAGACCAAGAGCTTTCCCAATTTCAGAACCATTTCAGAAAGGATTGGGCAAGCTGGCTGTTAATTATGCTCTGCTGTTGGACTGCAATGTTGTGCTACTGCTGGTCTGGTTGGGCAAGCTGGCTGCAAGTACTGGATGCAATGATCTGTTCTGCTCTTGGACTGCTGTTGGTCTGATGTTGGATTGCTGGTGGACTGCAGTTGTACTGCTTTGATTTGTTGGTCTGATGGTGAAATGCTGGTGCGCTGCTGTTGGGCAGAAGCTGGTTGCAAGTCCTGGTTTGAACCTGGGCTGCTAGTATGCTAAGGTCTGCTAGAATGCTATGGTTTTGAATCTGTTGGTCTGATGGTGGATGGCTGGTGGTCTGCTGGGTAGAATCTGGCCGCAAGTCCTGGGTTGGGCTGCTAGTATGCTAAGGTGAGCTTGCTGCTAAGCTGCAAGTCAAGTCCTGTGTGAGCTAAGCTAAGGTTCAAGTAGGCACGATGAATTGGTTTTGGCTAAGGTTCAAGCACGCTAAGACTCTGAGCTGCTATTGCTTCTGGTTAAGGCTCAGATGAAGCTGGTATGGTTGTGTTGAGACTCTGGGTGCAAGTCCCAGGTTGGGATGCTGATGCTGGTGTAGTTTCTGATATGCTTTTCTGTAGTAGTTTTCTACTCTTTTGTTTTCTATTTTTGGGTTTGGTTTCTCACCACCCCTTTTGGGTTAAGCTAGCATTTGATTGGGTGCTTTCCTTGGTGCCAACATAGTTGGGATGAAGGGTTTCGCTTTGATGCTTTTTGCTCGCCTCCGCTTTATTGATGTTATCCATATATATGTATGTTTGATGCTATCAATAAAGTTTTTTTTTTTTTTTTTGGTGATAAAAAAAAAACTAACTGATTTTTGCCAATAAATAAATAAATAAATAAATAAATGTATCGGCTTGACCTAGGTGTTGTTTAGCTGTACAAGTCAGTTTGCATTCATGAATTGTGCCATGGTAGCATTGGAAAAAAAAAAAAAGATTTGCCGATTCATGTGCATGAAAAATTAACTCAATTTGGTCAACTTGAATGCTTTTCTTCAAAAGCATTGCAAGTTCTGAAATCAATAGGAAAAATTTATACAAGTCCATAATTATTCAAAAACTTTTTTTTAGCCCTTCAAACTATAATCAAATGATTAAGGAGTTTTGATATTCTAAAAAAACTTTTAGAATGATTTCTCAGAAGGCATAAAGAATGCAACAGGTAATTGTGAGAAAAGAGTATTCAACGGGCCATTTCCCTAAATAAGCTAAAATAATAAATCAATTCCCAAACTAAGCTTAGTTTTGAAAGAATTCTCAAAATAAGCTAACTCGCGATTCACAATTGCGATTTCAACATATTTGCACCTATCTCACGTGAAACCTGGTAAATCTTAAATTCGTGGTTACAAAAAGCATTTTTCATTAAGAAATCGCGGTTACAAAACGCGATTTTAATTAATTTTTTTTTCTTATGAACTCGCTGTTCTGAACTACGATTTTATCCAAAAAAAAATTTCTTCTGAACTCGCTGTTCCTAACCACGATTTTATGAAAAAAAAAAGTTCTTCTAAACTCGCTGTTTCGAATCACACTTTTAGACCAAAAATTTTTTCTACTGAAATCGTGATTGTGAATCACGATTTCAATACTGATTTGCCAAGACCAACTGATGCCTAATGTAAAGTAAACACAGTTGGTCTAATAAAGTTATTTCATAAAAAAAAAAAAAAAAAAATCTAACAAATAAATTTCTAAAAATAAAAATAAAAATAAAATTCTAAAAATTTATGCTACCATAGTGTTTAGGGATAAAATTTATTTTTTTGTTTTACTAAAATAAAAATAAATAAATTTTAAGAATTAAACCCTAAACCCTAAAATAAAAAAAAATAAAATTTATCCGTAAACACTAAGGTAGCGTTTGGTAACGTTTACGTTTTTTGTTTATATTTATGAAAATTTTATAAACTAGTTTTTATTTATTTTTAGAAAAACATAAATTACAAACGAGTTTGGTTTAAACAAAATGTTTAAAAAAATTTATAAAATTTAAATGCGTTTAGTTTTAAAATGTTTAAAAAATTTTAAAAACGTAAAATAAAAAATATGTTTGTTCAAGCCTAAAATATTGAAAAAATAATTATTTGAAAAAAAATTTAATTGGGAAAAAAAATATTTCAAAAAAATTTAATTGAAAAAAAAGATTAATTGAAAAAAAAAAAACTAATAGAAACAGATTTAAAATGAATTGAATTGAATCTTTTTTTCTTAGTTGGAAATCAAATAAGTAGTTCCATGTGTGTATATATGTAACTCTCTGCACACGTGAGATAACCGTGAACATGATTTTGTGGTTATAACTTTGTATCAATGTGGTTATATATTTGTAGGTATATATCTTTGCTTTTGTAGTTCCATGTGTGTATATATCTTTGCTTTAAAAAAAAAA